ATGAGTGAACATGTGCTGCATCATTGTAACTTCTGTAATGTCAGTCAGGCATGGCTGAAAGGTCAATAAAATAAAATAATAAATATATATATATATATATATGTATAATGTTATGAGATTTAAGCTATTTAGACAAAACATTTGTGGTTTTGTGTTATAATTTGAAAAAGGCATAATTTATATCTATTTCCTATTTTTTTATGGTAGTTACGAGATCAGTCAAATTGATCAAACACATACAGAGATACAATAGTGAAAAGAACAGATAAAATATAAGGTTTTTTCTTAAAAATGCATAAAAGTATTACTAATCTTAAAATCAAAATTACTTTACATGTTCAATAGTCAACATTTGAAAAGAAAAAAATGCATGAGAAAAACTACTTAAAAAACCTTAAACTTGATAAAAAAATCTGATATTTTTGGGTATGAAAGTCTTTTAATGTTTACTGATAATCTTCCAAATTTCAGGAAGATATGTTTACTGTATTAAAATTTATAGCATGAAATTATAACAAGCCCAAAATGATTATGAGGTCGGTCCCTGGGACTTAGCCCAGAGTGAAAGAGTTAAGAGAAATTACAGTGTTTAAGTATTGGGTTTCAAAATATGCTCATAGAATAGAATAACTGAAATAATACAGCATTAACCTGTACCTAGTGTATTTCCTCAACCTCCTTCTTCTACTAACTTCAGTACCTACTCTCACATGCTAATCTAAAAAATTTCATATCTAAAATTATGGTACTGGACATCTTCCTTTCAATAAAAACATGTTATGTTGTGTATTGTTAAACTAATTTATTATGTATATGATCATGTTTCTTTGTTGAACTAATCCAAGCACATTTTATTTTACAATTTCATCATACTTATGCCTTCCTGTATTGCATCTTTCTTTTAATAAAACTCATGCAACACTGAACTAAAGAAGTAAATAATAAATTAAGAAATTTAAAAACTTTCAGCTGTTTGAATGTAAAATTTCAATATTTAATTCTCCTTCTTTAATAACCGATTCTTATGAACTAAAACCACTTTTTAGTATTTGATTTACTATCTGTTTGACTCCTTAAAAACTTCAAGCACTAAAATAATAAAAGGTTGAATTGTTTTCCAATTTCAGAATACAAAAAATCAGACAGTTGTGAAGATGACAGTTGTACCTTGTGCTCCAGTTGTAGAAGTTAAAATTAAAAGACCAGATACAAAGTATCAGCTAGGGTTCAGTGTACAAAATGGAGTGGTAAATATACAAGTTTATTATGAATTTTTACACTAACACATTAAAAATTTTAGAGATAACTACTATATTTTTCTATAAAAAGTACACAAAATTAAGAATCAAAAGTTCTATAGTACATGATGGTATATGTGTAGTAATAGTAAATAAACCAGTTAAATCATTATGATGAAAAACTGTCAATTTTCAAGTTACATTACAGGACACTTGAGATGGAAGAAGAAGAAAGAACTATGTATCTGTAATAAATCATGGATAAAAATTAAATTATTAATAATTTGATAAAAATGTGTATTGAATGTAGACATTTTTTCAATTGTCATTAACAGATCCAAAAATTAGGTTTTACAGAAATATTTATACATGCACTTGTTTTTAGTTTACATTGAACAGAGTAGAGAGAAATGTGCATTTATAGCAAGTTCTACCTCTGGAATCAGATTAATAACAATTGTTATAGTTTGAATGCTTTTTTTCAAGCTGTCTAAGTATGACTTGTAATTAGACATTAATATTAGACCTATTATATTTTTAACACTGCATTCTATATCTAATAATACATTAAGAATTGTCAAGAAATGAAACTTTTATTATACACTATTCTAATTTTTCAAAAATCCCTAAGGGACTATACATTGAATGCAGTGTCAAAATATAATAGACCTAATACTATTGGCTAATGACAAGTAAATTATTTAATTCATAATATATGAATAAAGAACACATTTTAAAATTTATTTAGTTGTATAGTAGCAGTAAACAATTTTTAGAAATGCATGCAACAAGAAATATAAAACTTTTTATAATGCTTTTGCTCTTTATTATTTGGTTGTAGAAATAACATTATAAAACCACTTATTTTATGCATTGCTAGTTAGCTGTCAGAATGAAGAAACATCATAGGGGATACTTTGTATCATTGTTTCTATCTCAACAACAAATCTATGTAGCTATCTTACAGATTTCCCTTTTAGTTAGTTTAGTCTCTTTTCAAATCTGGTGAATATATCGGATACAATATGGTCATGTTGTTCACATTAGGAATCAAAAAATACTCCCCACTTTTTCTTTGTAAGAGGTACTCACTTAATTCATGAATAATATGAAACTGTGAACCAACTATTTGTGGAATGTTACATTTATTTCTTTACAGTGTTTCATCTCTAACATTAAAATGGGATCACGTACAACATTTAACCCTATCGTTACGGGTATCCTTTACTGACACAAGGTTTTAGTGTCTTACATTCAAAATTTTATTGAAATACTTTTTGTTTATGTTATACCAAATAGTATATAAGTTTTAAGTTCTTAATTCTATAAGGCAATATTTAAATAAATCCTGAATTTCCTCTAGTGTGACACACGTGACACATTTTCTCAAGGTATCTTCTCTATTTTATCCAACACCCCTACAAAAAGTATGAAATTGAATGTAAATTACTCACTATAAAATCGTCATTGCTCAGACAAACCATAATTTTTATAGCCTTCAATTTTGTTTGATTACAGAGCTATCAAATAGAAAATCAGCCCCCCTTCTTTCACATCCTCTTTTTCTGGATTTGTAATTGTTCTCTTTTATGTTTAATTATATATTACCTATAATGATTAAAAAGCCAAAGTTTTCTTCTATCAATTGATCTATTGTATAACATTGTTTTCTGAACAGATAATCGTCAATTTCACTAGTAGTACAGGCTTCATTCCCATGGGAAAGGTAACAACTAGCTTGAATGAATTTGTAATGGCTCTTGTTACATAGTTAGAAAGCCAGAAAAATTGTGATTGTTAGAGGAAATTGCCTACTTTTTGCATGTTATTATTCTATGTTCTTTGGTGCATTATTTAATTAAATAAAAAAATTTTCATGCACTACTACCATTAGTATAAAAAAAAGTAGGGTTAAGTGTCATCGATAGTTGACAGGAAAATAAAAGAATACTTGGGTAAGTACTTTATTTTTTGTTTTCCATGTTTGTTCTTTAGTTATTATTATAAAAGTAACTAAAATGTAAAAATAGGGATATCTTTAGGTTAGATTAGGTAAAATATAATAATGTTAACTTTTTTTTAACCTTGCAGATTTTAGATTTATATCATAAGGAGACACACACAATCACACACACACACACACATAGTTCTTCGAAGATAACTTTAACCTCCGTTCTTGATCTTGCTTTTCAAATTGTGAGCAGTATTGGAATTACGATTGTCGACTTGTGGTACTTTCAGATAAATTATCTTCATCAACAGATATTGTATAAGCCACAAATAATGAAAAGTTAATTATTCACTGAACAATTTTACAAAAAATTATCATCTTTCATGAACTTCTGTAGAACCATAGTGATTAAGCCATTGCTTCTCTTTTCACTAACTTAAAAGGATGTTGTTATTTAAAGTAATTATTTATGCTTCTCATTGTGCGAGTCTCTCTCATCCTTGTCCTGGTTATGAGTGTAAAGTAATTTTAAATACTTGAAAGCCTGAAGGTGTGAACTTGTAGACTTGGCTGTGTTTGTATTGTTACCTAATGTAAACATAGATATTATTATATATGTATGTTGTTAGAATTTGTTGCTATTAACTAAATTATTACAAGTCTTTATTTTAAAAACTCTTTAATGTTTTACTTTGTAAATATTAGTTTTAGTGTATTTCTCCTGTATTTGGTGGTTTTATCAAGCAGGTAAACTGATTTCATACTTTATGTAATGCAAATGGTATTATTTTACAAGCTTCGTCAGAAGTGAAAACTAAGGTTTTCCCTACTAAAAAATATAATACCAAACCAAAGACAACTTCCAAAACTGTAGCTAACTAATGTATTATGGATCTTTTTATCTTCTTGTGTTTTACATTCCTGAATTTCTTACTTAATGCTGAATTTGATATTAAGATAGCCAGTATTAATGTTTATATAAATTATAGATTTGCAGCCTGTTAAGGGGAGGTATAGCTGAGAGAGGAGGTGTTAGAGTTGGACACCGTATAATAGAAATAAATGGTCAGAGTGTTGTGGCTGTGCCTCATGAGAAGATAGTGAATCTGTTGGCCACATCAGTAGGAGAGGTAAGTAAATCAACTGTATATTCCTAAATATATTAAATTTTGAGATACATATTTACACTTGCATTAAGTAAGTTGCAGTAGTAATATAAAAGTTTCTTACTAACACAGTTTCATCAAAAGGTTTGTATATCAGGCACTGATTTTCTGAGAATATTTTGGTTTTGCCTCTTCAGTAACACATTTATTCACAGGTTCTTAATGTTTTGCCAGATTTAAATTTACTCAAATCGCTGCAAAATAAGATTCAGAGTGTAATTTTGATTTGTACATCTATATATAGGCATTGGAAAAATTTTAGCTTTAATTTATTTTTTCTTATCAAAAAATGTTATGCATAATTTATATTCTTTTTTTTTTTATTGGGTGATTCTTTTTTTAAACTATTCAGTATATAAAAGTTTCTTTGGAGTATCATCTTATAAAAATAATTCTGATCTGTTTTATATACTAAACCTTAGTACCCTCACAAATAGTTTTCACCCCAGAAATATTTTGTCCTTCCCAACCAGCAGTTAGCTTTCTTCCCAATAAGAATGAAGGTTCATGATAAAATACACAAGTTCTCATGCATTTAGGTTTAGGTATATTCATTCATTATTAGTTTATGATAAAATACACAAGTTCTCATGCATTTAGGTTTAGGTATATTCATTCATTATTGGTTTATGAAGGTTCATGATAAAATACACAAGTTCTCATGCACTTAGGTTTAGGTATATTCATTCATTAAATAACTTTTTTGTTTTATATTATGCACAGTTAGGGCAATATGATCCCAGTTAAGAGGCATATGAAGATATACATGTATTTTATAGAAATGAAAACAAAACAAAATTTCAATCGAGTAAATTTTGAAAGAATTACTTTTTGATACTCAAAATAACAGTTACATTAAACAATGGAAATGTTTGTAGTTGTAAAGAATTTTTCTCAATATACCGTTGTTGCTAAAACAAAAGACTGTGGTATTCCATACAGTTCAAATAAGCCAGTTTTTATTCAGTTGAAATAAGAAACATATATACTTATACTAGGCATGAACCTTTTAAGACAATTAGCTAAGAACTGTTCTTGTAAGCAATTCATTAATCACAGGTAGGTCAATAGTAGAAAGAATCCTTGTTTGTGGTTTGGAAAACTAAGTGATATTTAGTGTGATTATTTTAGGATTTGTCTTACAGTAAAACTAGCTGAGTTAGTAAAAGCTAGTTTTCAGTTGGTGTCTTATGGTGAAAGCATGCTGTTACTTTTGCAGGTTGAATTTCTAGCTAATGCCAAAATCTTTCAGTTACAGGTTGTGGTAGATTTGTTGCAGTGGGTTTTGAATTCTTGTATAATTTTAATTGAATAGTACTCACAGTGTACACGAAACATAGCTGCATGTATACATAAATATTTTTAGGCTAAATAAATTTTAAACCTTTATCTTACTGAAGACCTTTTATTGAGATGTAATTACAAATGTAAAATTTTTAAGATATTGGAAGTCTTTAGATTGAAAATATGGACTGTTTCATAATTATTTTTTGTGAGACTTACTGTTTTCTTGACCAAGTTCTAAGTGACAGGTTCTAAGAGATGTTTAGTTACTAATGACAATGCTACATTTGTTTGGGGGTATTCTGTAAATTATGAATTTTTAATTCATATTAATGATTTTCATTACAGATTCTGATGAAGACCATGCCAACTTCAATGTTCAGACTTCTAACAGGTCAAGAAACTCCGGTTTATATTTAAAGACAGTTTTTATGCAACTGATAGAGTTGTTCCCAAAACTTATCAGATTAAGCCCATGAAATGGGAACAAGAGTGTCAGACAAGCATTCATTAAAACTGGTGGTTCAAAGACTTACTTGGACAACACTGCTTAGTGTTAATGCACTAAGTAAAAGAGGAGAGATAGGTGTATGAATATATATATCTATATATATATATTTATACACACATGGAATTGGACAGAAAACTCTGTGAGCTTCTATAAAGGGTTTATCAATAAGATGGTAGATGGATGGTAATTATGTAACACATCATTTTCACACTTTGAGACACAATTTGACTTGTGTATTACATAATAGCTTATTCTTCTTTTCTGAAGTATCTTCACCTAGGGTTTTCTGGAGAAACACATTTAAGGGGCTTTCAAATCAAAAACATTTAATCTTGTGTGAGTTAATTTTTATTATTCTGTTTACTTCGTTTTTGGACTTGTGTGGTACGACGGCAACACAGCTGAAATCGTGATAGTTCACTGCTCATGATGTACAATTTCTAATTGAGGAAAGTTATTATGATTAAAAGTCAATGTGATATAATTTTGTCATTTGTAAGTTTCATCCTTTTCGTAATACTTAGAAATTGTCATCATCTCCGTCAGTCAGTACAATGGAATTGATCTGATTTAAGATACTACAACATTTTATTTGATTCAGTTGTGTGAATATTTTTATGTAACATGAGGGGAAAAAGGGAGAAATTTTTTCACGATTTTGGTTCTATTTTCTTAAAGACTTTATAATAATATATAATTTTTGATAATTTCCAAAAAATAATCGTAAACAAATTTAAGCTATTATGGTAGTATACTGTTATAAAACAAACATTAGGGTTAGCACCAGCAAAATAATTATCATGTGTCAGGTCTTCACTGAATAAAATTGTTTTTATATGTTACAAGTATTTCATATAATGGGCATATTTAAGATATTTATTATTGAAATTACCTTCTTTTGTATCCACATTACATAATTACAGCGTTTAACTTTTACAATGTACTTAAAATGTAGAAGTCAAGATTTCGTTGATGTATGTAGTTTCAACTTAGACTTTTTTTTTTCAAGTGGTTTATGTGACATATTACAGTTATGTTGAATGGTCATTTCTAGTGTTTTGACAAAATTCCTTTTACATATATCAGTTGTTTAGGTTTTGAATGTTACATGGAACACATCTTTTAGCTAAGCCTAGATTTGGATTTCATATCAGTAAGATGACCCAAACCTTATGTATGGATATCTTGTTGGGATAACATATTCCCATACATCTACAACTTTACCTACATTCTATGCTGGCACTTAAAAAATATGTTTATTGTAAAGCCAAGGAAGTAATATTTTTCAGTTGTTTTAATTTTTTTTAAATGCTTTTCACATTTTCTGAATTTCCAATAAAATTATATTTCTAATATATTTAATTTTCGGGGTAATTTTCAGACTTTTTTATGCAGATTGCTTGAATTTTCTTGACAACCCATGTTTAATATTTATAAAGTCTCATTTATCCTGTATATTAATATCATTATATTCTGTTTTTGTCTATCTACAATTGTACCAATTTTAGAAACTTTACTATTACTTATAATACTTGAAATGCAGTACATACAACTAACTCTCATTCTATTTACTCTGAAACTGTTTTTGGATCATAATTGTATAATAATTATTGATACTTCAGAAAAAGTGATGTATCACCCCACAAAGTTTTCTTGGGTCCAAGTACTAGTCCAGATTGATGCACTAATTACTGTGCTCATAAATCTTGTGACCCAACATGCATCTCTGAAAGTAATGTCATCATTTTTGGTAAAACATAAAATGTATGTGGAGTATGCATAAAGATAAATGGATAAAAAATGTAAATTTCTTTTTTGTATTATATTAATAGTAAAGCTTCAGTATTTATACCATTTTGAATTTTTATTTAAACAAATGGGCAATTGCTTTAATTTGCTTCATGTTTGTTGTAAAGGAAAGAATAGCCACGAGTTGCTCAGCTAAAAAAGCATTTTTGGTAATGTGTTTACTTTTGAAATTAAGAATATGTCATTCATCAAAAGCTTGGACAATTGAAGTGGTATGCTCGTTTTACATTTGATAGTATGCTAAAAATGACTTGGTAGATTTGATAAAGTATAATAAGACATATTGTCTCTGTTGTTACTTCTAATGGAGTCAGTGTGAACTAGTTATGATAGTGTTTTACATTTTCTCACAAAAGACTTCATATTGTATGCAAGTTGAAGTAGAAAGCATATCAGAGGTTACATGACCATTCAAAAACTTTAATTTTTCTTTTAAATCAAATCTATCTCCAATAACATTTTGATTATTTGTAATAAAATAAATGGGGGCTAATAAGCTGAAAACTTTTCTGTTGATGGAAGTATCTTTGCCTTAAATTAAAATTTAGTTATTTTATTACTGGTAATATAAAGACTTCTTCCATTGTTACAAGAACTTTTGAAACAAGTGGGTCATGTTAGTGGCTGTATATTAAACTTTAACCTTTACTCATGCCTTAAAGCAAGGTAGTTCAAGGATAAATGCATTCTATATTAGTCATTTTGAATAAAGGTTTGAGTACCCATTAAGATTTGTGTGCCATATTAGTTATTTAGGGCAACTATTGTAACATCTTGGTAACTAAGAATAGTTGCTTTACATTATGTTAGTACATTCTAATATTGCAGTGTGTGTCAGTTAACTCTAAAGCTGTATTATAAAATTTCTGTGTCATAATATAGTTCTTAAACTGTATTTTCATGATAAATTGAGATGTTGGTATAGCTTTCCAGGGACACAGTCTTATAACCCTCTCATTTTGATGATATTCTCTCAAAACAAGTTTGGCTTATCACATGGGTAAAAATATCAAGATTTACACTAAACTTGAAAATAGTGTGCTTTGTGTGTATTGCAACGAATATCCACACCATTCTATGAAGCTTTCATATATCATTATAATGTCACAGTTCTTGATTCTGACATATGGGTATTGTATTTGATTTTAAGTAAATACTGGACTGGTAATTATTCACGTGTATTCGTAACGAATAAGGAAACAATAAAATGGTTAATTTCTTGCATTTACTTTATGATAGGTGTTTATTGTTTGTAGGTTAACCGTATAAGAATTTATTTATTTTTTGTTTGAGTGTGTACAAAAAAAGTAGTACTAATATATTGTATGTGAAACCTTACTATAGCTACATTGTATTATGTCTTGTAAAATTATTGCTTTTGTCACTTTGATTTTATCATAGTTGTGTAATGAGTTGATAATTAAAGTCACTCGGTATGTATGTTTGACTCACATGAATTATATTTAGTAATTCTCCAACTGTTATAACTAAATCAAAATCCGTGTACACAGTTTTTGGGAAGTTGATAATGGTTATTATAAGGACACATCTTTAACTGTTACAGCTAAATCAAAAGCCATGGACTTTGCTACAGTTTTGTTGGTAGTGGATAATGGTTAGTGTAGGGACACAACATCGAACATGGGCCAGTTATACATGTTTTCGTAATTAGAAAAATCACTTAACCCAAGTAAATCCAACCAAAATAATCGCAGAAACAATACATGGGCATTGTTACGCTATAAATTAATTAATATGATATATTGTTTAAAAGATTAGTTTGATTTGGTGATTTTTTAAATATTACTACATATTTAAGAAATTATACAGATTTTTGTCTAAAATGTTACAATAAGTTGTTTTTTAAATGGCGTTTAAAATCTATCTCGTTAAATTATCCAAACGCGATTCTATATTCAGTATGATGGAAGTCTTAAAATAAAGCAATTTTACGATAATAGCTAGTACAAGTTTAGCTATATATAAATGTACATTTGTGGAATTCTGAGCAGAATGAACGTTCTTTACTTGGTCACCATAACAAGAGATTTGAAGAACTAAAAAAATAATAATAACTTGTCACAAGTTTGAAAAAATTAAAGACTTGATGTAAAATACAAATGAAATAAAAAGATAAAAAATTAAATTTCAAGATAAATTAACGAAATAAAATGCGTTTATTAATAAAGTAAACAATCTATTTAAATTGAACAGAAAAACTTAATGTAAGTGAAAACTCAACTACAGTTAAAAACGTTACAACACTTCTATTGTGCAAGTTGCTAAATAAAGAAAATGTTCGTGAGAAAATGCCTGTAGACGGCAGTACAACTACTCTGTGTTTATATTAATTAGTAGACGGCAGTACAACTACTCTGTGTTTATATTACCTAGTAGACGGCAGTACAACTATACACTGTTTATATTACTTAGTAGACGGCAGAACAACTACACACTGTGTTTATATTACTTAGTAGACGGCACAACAACTACACACTGTTTATATTACGTAGTAGACGGCAAAACAACTACACACTGTGTTTATATTACGTAGTAGACGGCAGGTACAACTACATACTGTGTTTATATTACGTAGTAGACGGCAAACAACTACACACTGTGTTTATATTACCTAGTAGACGGCAGTACAACTACACACTATTTATATTACCTAGTAGACGGAAGAACAACTACACACTGTGTTTATATTACTTAGTAGGCGGCACACCAACTACACACTGTGTTTATATTACCTAGTAGACGGCACAACAACTACACAATGCGTTTAAATTACCTAGTAGACGGCGGTACAACTACACACTGTGTTTATATTACCTAGTAGACAGCAGAACAACTACACACTGTGTTTATATTACCTAGTAGACGGCAGTACAACTACACACTGCGTTTAAATTACCTAGTAGACGGCGGTACAACTACACACTGTATTTATATTACCTAGTAGATGGCAG